GGGTGGGGCGCGTGTTTTTGTTTAATTAAATTCCTTATCTGACTCTTAACATTGATAACCATTGATTACACCGATCCTCTGTGTCAGCCTTTTAGACTGTCTGTTTTCATTGTCTCTGGACCATGATGACTTCCTAAGCAGAGTGACTACGTACCAAACGTGGTAACTTAACCAGACCTAACCAGACTTAACCAAGTCATTGTGGGGCACTTTCAAAAAAAATCTCAAGAGGTTATCAAACAGAAGAAAGCATTCTCAGGGCAAGTAAACCTTAAAGCTGTCATCATTTGGCCTTTCTTTGATAAGCATTCCATTTTGTATGCACAGTATTAAGTTCAGCTGGCTTGGTGTGATTTTTAAAGTATGTGACAAATTAGCTTTCTTCATGAAATGCCTACCACTGTACTTTCAGCAAGCCTTGAAGGCTTTAATAATAGGTGGACAGACTTTGACTGACAACAACCCCTGTTGCTTTAGAGGAACTTCCTCCTAGAATTCAGAATTGGCAGCAGTAAACTGAAGCAGTAAGTAGACCTCTGAAAGCTAAAGAGCAATTACTTACCACAAGATCTGAAGTATACTCAGCTGCACTTTGATTCCGTGTGCTGTCCAGCACGTCTTCAACAGTTTAATTCCTAAGTTCATTTTTTTCAACTGAGTAAATTCAGGTGTAGTAACATATCTTCTGATCTCAGAAAAATAGAGCAGGTAGTTGCCTTTCGAAGTATGTTGTAAATTTAATTGGAACTTAAGGTGTTAGATTTGTAGTAGATGAGGTGGAGAACAACAAGCTGAATATGGACAAGTTTGAACTCAGAAAAGGGGGAGGATGCTTAACCTAATGTTTTCTGAATAGCAGAGTGCATGGAGGTTTGGGTGAGCTTTCCTTTGCACTGCTGATGTTTTCAATCCTTTCTAGTCTAGAGCATTGCAAAATAGAGTGCAAGAGCTTGAGGAGAACCTGGCCAAGGAACGGGAAAAGTATCGCAAAATACTGTTTGAGAAAGATCAAGAAATGACAATGATCAGAAATCGGATGGGGGAGCAGCTGAATGACTATGAACAACTTCTGGATGTTAAACTGGCACTTGATACGGAAATCAGTGCGTACCGGAAATTGTTGGAGAGTGAAGATGAGAGGTATGAAAGAATGTAGCATCAAATCCTGGTATCTGTATGCTTCCCTTACTTGTCTTATTCTCTGTTAAAAGGCAGTTCTTATTGGGAATACATTCATTAGATGTTTTACTACAGTTTCCAAGGCACTGTTTGGTTTTGCCTTCTCCTGTCTGACACACTTCTAAGTCTCCATGAGACCAATAGCTTTCAAGGGAACAAATAGCATTCTTCTATTAAGATACAGCATGGAGGACATAATGAATTGTCATTTGCAGGTCTATTTGGTGCCATTATTTTTCAGAGTTAATTACAAGTTTATTTCATTGTAAGCCAAATTTTCTTTAAGTATAGAGTAATTTTCATAAAGTAATAGCTGTTAAGATTGTCCAGCTTATCAGCTTAGCTGCATTTTCCATCTGACCCCAGAGTTCAGCAATACTGAGAATTTTCACCTAGTAAGTCACAGCTGTCATTTAAAGCAGCTTGATACTTCACTGTTTTCTCAATGATATCCTACTTCACTGATTCCTCTCAAGTGTAGAGATTAAACAGCAAAAGCTCTTGTGCCATTGGGTTTTTGCATAAATTTCCTACAATTGCTTATGGCCCCCTAAGAGGTTTTTTCTTTACTTATTTGATCTATCCAGAACTGCATTCTTTAACAAATACATAGAGATGCCTTTATGGTCTTAATTTAGTAGTCCATCAGTATTCTGTGCTCCAAAAGCATTAATCAGCTGTTTGATAACATTGTATTCAATTCTTCAAAATATACCTAAGGCTTCACTTTTTCATGTGACGTCCTTTGTTTAATATACACCTGTACATTCTTGCTGTATCATTGTGGTGCAAGACCAACAAAATATGTTCTAAGAAAAGTTTAATGGAGTCAGGAAAAAGGTAAAATGATCAAACTGAACAGGGATCTTATATTACAAACACTTTGGCAGACACAACTTATGTACAGTTCTAGATGTCAGTTGGGAACTAATGCTACACACTGCAAGACTGACTCTGAGCTTAGAATGATGACACGAAGTGTGTGTAACACCTACCTTACAGGCGAGGACTCTCAGCTCCCAGGAACTCAGTCTCTGGATGGCTCCAGCCACAGACCCACTGCTCAAGGAGAACCACTCATGGGGTCTCCAATGGGGCCTCATCTATAGCCCAGCTCAGACCTGAACTATAGTCACCTGTTGGTCATGGTCACATGTGATTCCTGCGGTAGAGGAACTCCTAGGCGGACTCATTGGTTGAGGGGGTCTCTGGTGGGCTCAGGTGTCTGGGGTGAATTGCTGGGGGTAAATGTGCCCAGAAACAGACGTCACCAAGGCCCCCGTGCCCTGCTGTTAGACCTGCAGGGGCTGCTCCTGCCACAATAATTCTATGGGAAGAAAAGGAGAGAGGAAAAAAGTTTATTAAAAAAAAAAGTGGAAGAAGTAAAATCAAAGTGTGATGTCTGCATATTTCTTCCTTTCTGTGATACAGATTGAAACATTCTCAATCTTCCCAAGTGGCAGTTTCAATGAGCCGTAGTGTGCATACAACCAGCAAGAAGAGGAAGAGGATTGATATGGATGAATCTGAAGCCAGCAGTAGTATTAGCATTTCCCACTCAGCTTCTGCCACTGGAAATGTCTCCATTGAGCAGATAGACATTGATGGAAAATTCATCATCTTGAAGAACACCTCTGGACAGGTTTGAAAATGCTCACGTATCATGACTTTACAATGGACTATTTAGAGATAGAAAGCATCCTCATCACCCTTTAAGCCCTCAGGCTTCATGTTGACCTTGATGCTAAAGCACACTTTATAAGAGATGGCACTAAGCAACTAGTGTGTCACAAAATAAGCTTTCATACAGTATTCTGGATTAGTGATGACTTCTTCATAATGATTTTTAATTCTTTTCATAGCAATTGTTTTACTGCTAGTTTGCCCACCCACCAGAGTGTTACATCACTCTTCAGAGTTCAGCCTGGCAAGTGATCTGCATGTCAAGTTTTACAGATAACATTGTAATTTATAGGAAGTAGTGCAAGCAAACATTAAGCTATTTTAAAAGCCTTTTAAGAATTTTCTCTGCCTTAAAATGCCCCAAAAGAAATACATGCTGATGCAAAATAAATGCCTAAATCTAATTGTGTCCCTTGTACGTGTATATAGCTTCTCTAAATCATAGTTTTCCTTCTCCCTTGGCTTGCATCCACAGTTTTTAGGAGCCCTCAATTCCCATACCAAAGCCACCTTTATGACGGCTACTCAGATGTCATGGTTTAGCCCCAGTCAGCAACTAAGCACCACGCAGCCAATTGCTCACTCCCCCACGGTGGGACGGGAAGAGTAAAAGTGAGGAAACTCATGGTTTGAGATAAAGACAGTTTAATAAGTAAAGCAAAAGCCGTGCACGCAAGCAAAGCAAAACAAGGAATTTGTTCACCACTCCCCATGGGCAGGCAGGTGTTCAGCCATCTCCAGGGAAGCAGGGCTCCATCACGCGTAATGGTTTCTTGGGAAGACAGACGCCATAACTCCGAACGTCCCTCCACCCCTTCCTTCTTCTACGTCCCAGCTTTATATACCGAGCATGATGTTATATGGTATGGAATATCTCTTTGGCCAGCCTGGGTCAGCTGTCCCAGCTGTGTCCCCTCCCAGCTTCCCGTGCACCCCCAGCCTGCTCGCTGCAGGCCAGCATGAGAAGCTGGACTGTCCTTGACTACTTAGCAACAGCTCAAAACATCGGCACCTTATCAACATTTTCTCATCCCAAATGCAAAACATAGCCTCACGCTAGCTTCTATGAAGAAAATTGACTCTACCCTGGCTGAAACCAGGACATCAGATTATTTCATTCTATGAGTAGGTTGGAGTTTGTATTGGGGGGAACACACATATCTATTTATCAAAGGGTAGTTCATTTGACTAATAACCAAAGCTCTTCCTTATGTTGCCCCCAGTGGATGCTAACTGTATATTCCTTTTGCTATATTCCTATACACTTTCCCTCCTGCTGCCCTCCCTTCCCCGACATTACTTGCAATTTCTGTTTAAGGAAAAAAAAAGTCCCATGCTATATACAGTTCTGTGAGTCAGCAGAGGAGGAGTTGGAGGCTGGGGGCTATAATTTCTTAAATCCTTTACGTCACTAAAAGGCAGCTCCTCTTGATGTTTAGATGATAAAGATTGGTCTGGTTCCCAGTGCCTCTGTCCCTTCCAATCAATGAAGAGACAGACTCCTCCAGATGGTGTTACATATGTATCTTAATTACCTGCTTGGGGTGTTGGCTGAGAATGCTGACTTCATATACTGAATGGAAGAAACCGTGATGATTGTCTTGGTCTAGACAGCTAAGCATTTTGATTTGTCTCAATTTAGTCATCTAAGACTACTTCTAGTGAGTCAGGACCTGCCATTTTTTTCTTTTTTGGGTTTTTCAAGCTTACGGGATTTCCCCCCTCCTTTGTGTACCATGTGGGTTTCCCTGCCTTGTATTTAATTTAACTGCACATTCATTGTTCCATGGAAGGACCATCAGTTCTGTTACAGTAGCCATGGATGGTTCATGGTTATAGTAGTTTATCAGGGGTCTAGATTTGAGCAACTGTCTGTAGTGCAGTGTAATAAGTTGTACTTGGGGAATTTTCACAAGTGTTTGACATTTGTTTATACAGATAGAAAATAAATAAAATCCTCTTTAAGTATGGTATGTTTTGTTACAACGACCAACTGAATGTCAGCACCCATTAAGATAAATCAGATTGTTTATTCTAGATAATCTTAACTGCCTGTTTTCCAACTCCAATGGCAACTATTTAATGTTTAGAAACTGTCTGTTGGTGGGAGAATTTAGAAAAGAGCAATCCTTGTTTTGAAATAGTCATTCTCTAATCCTGACTTCTATTTTTTTTTTTTATTAGATTTGCTGGTGCTTTTTAGGTAGTTGATAGGCAAAAAATAATGGAAAGGAAATGTAATGTGGGTCTTGCAAAGGAGTATGTAGTGGGATGTGTGCATATGTAGGAACACATTTTATGAAGACTGACGGGAATATTTTGTTTCCTAAGAAGCCTGCTTGTCATTCTGTGCTTCAAAAAATCTATTATATATTTGTAAGGGCATTTTAATATTTATGTATTTTTCTGGACCGAGCAATTACAAAATTGATGCAACTCATAAATGTTAGTTAATATAACATCAGAACTGAAAAGAAAGGTGATTAAGCTTTAACTTGAATAAAAGGGAAGACAAATTTAAATAAAATTATTCTGATTGCATGCTGAAGATCAAGTGATAATGTTTTTACTGAAAATTATATGTACCTCATGGCCTTATATGTAAAATACATACACATGGAAGAGAAAATGACTGCTGATAGAAGTTTTTTTCTCTCCTTTTTTATTAGGATCAACCTATGGGAGAATGGGAGATGATCCAAAAAATAGGAGACACTTCAGCTAGTTACAGATATTCACCAGAATACGTACTACAGGCAGGCCAAAACGTCACAGTAAGTTGTCAGTCTTCAGCTGTTCAGTTAAAATGTGCTTTAGGCCAGCTTGTGTGTGTCAGTAAGACACAAGGTTTTTACTTTTGACCTTTCTGTGTACATATTCAGAAAATAATCACCTACATTTTTATTGGGCATTAGTTGTATCAGTTGCTGGGAAGAAGTTGGACAGAGACACATTTTTCAGAAACTTTTCTATATGGAGCAATAATTTTGACCATAAACAGGTGCATTTACATATTCAAAAGTCTCCACATTAAAAAAAAAAGCAGGAGTGTTTTATTGTAAGAAGCTTTGGAAGTAGGTAGGCAGAGACTTGTATTTTCTTAACTGGAGGAGATTTATCAGTGTCACTTAAATGGAATACATTAACTCAGTAAATAACATGGAAATGTATAAGACAAAGAAATAATGCTTACATGTGACTTCTCCTTTTAACAGGTCTGGGCTGCAAATGCTGGAGTAACTGCTAGCCCTCCCACTGACCTCATCTGGAAGAACCGGAATTCTTGGGGCACTTGTAGAGATGTGAAAGTTGTACTGAAAAATTCCCAGGGAGAGGTAAAGTACTTCAGATGTGTTTAAACTTCTCTTTCTGTGGTGCCATCCCTTATAAAGGTGCAGGTAGAACCATTGTTAGGACTTTACTAAACACTCATGTGCATTCATGTGCAAAGTTTTCTCCTTTTGCTTTCCCACCAAGCATACTGTACCCCTGTCTGTCTTAACTGCAATTTAGGAATGCCATCTATTGAAGCATGTGACATTTTTCCCCTATATTGAGTATAAGAAGTAGAAGAATGATTTGTTCAGACACTGCCCTCATGCCAGGAACTGGGCAGTGCCTTAGAACATGCTTTGAAAATAAAAGGTTTTTGTAAACTCTTCAGTGATTTGTCTCTTACACTGTTTTAAGGAAAACTGATTTATTTATGGGGAGTGGGGAATGCTACAGTGAAACTCACTTTAAGCAATGAGGCATTAATTCTGGTAAGGTGGGAGTTAAAACTTTGGGTAGGGCAGTCGTTATGACATCTTGCAACTGAAAGAAAATACTTAAATATATTAGAAAAAGCAAATTTTGGGAGAACTTGATGAGTGTCTTCTTAGACTCTTTTTAATTATGCAGAGCTTTTAAACTAGGATGTTATGAATGCTGTTTATGCACAGCTGTACATGAAAAGTGTATAGACAAATCAGTACAAGTAGCTTTCCCAACAGCTGGAACTCCCGTTTCTCAAAATCTGAGTAGCACCAGATCTGTAGAGGAGTCAAGTCTTAAAAATAAAACTCTGTTGCAGGAGGTTGCTCAGAGAAGCATTGTCTTTGAAAGCGCTGTATGTGAAGGGGAAGAGGAGGCACTTGAGGAAGAAGTAGTTGAAACTTCATCAGAAGACGACCTTTACCACCACGAGGTATCTTGGTTAACAAGGTTATATAGGTTGAAAAAAAGGATATACAAGTCATGAATTTTTTGAAAAATATTATCCCTGTTTAGGTGTGGATGTTCTTTTATTTTTGTTTTGTTTAATCAGTAATTTAATGAGAGCATGAAGCTGTGTTATTAAAACCAGTATAAAAATATTACTTCACGTATTCCCCTGATGGAGGGAAGTAGATTTTTCTTAAAATAAGGTTTTAAAGCTTAAAGATTTGGGGATTTATTCTTAAACTCTGTTCCTCATAAGGTTTCCCCCAGGCCAGTTGTTTATTGTAAAGTTTGGCTTAAGCAGGTACACCTAAATTTACCTGATGTTTTGAGGACTTACATCTCTCATTTTCTCTGATAGAGGAAATGAGAGATTTGAAGACACTATCAGAGAAAATGTCTCTTGCATGCTGAAGAAATGCAACTCTGAAGGCAGTGGAAAGGTGTGAACTTGCAGTGACAATATAAAATGTTTTGAAATATAAGGGAAAATACTGAGATGTAACATACTTGATTGTTCACATTCTGAGTTTTGTCCATTGCCTTACTGTTTTGACCAGTTCTTCCAAGAAAAAAAACAGAAAGGTAACAAACATAAGTTCCTGTAATGCAGCATTCAAATTTGCTACTGTACCTAGCTACGTTTCAGTTAGTATATATCTTAAAGTCAGAGAGAAAAGATAATATAGAACAGTAATTAAGTGTGTATATGTAAACAGACAAAAAGTACAGAGAGTTGGCTGTATTGGAAATCGTCTTTTTTGGCAACCATGGTTTTTGACTTATAACTGAATCATAACTGTGTGGCATTTAATATAGAGTCAGGTTTTTATTGCAGTTATGCAAAAGCACTGAAGTGCATCCAGCTGCTTTTGTGGTTTCTGGGATTGTGTAGTTCAGCTAAAGTGTGTGTCTTAGTAGCTCTACTTACAAAAATGTTATGGAGAGATTAGATTTCTTTAAATAAAAACTCTCAAGGTACTTGTATATACTCCCTGCAGTATTCACCACCTGTCTAAACTCAGTGATAGTTTTTGACTTGAGATTCAAATATGATAATTAAATTGTGTTTTTTCTGGTACACGTCCTCCATTACCTCTCATAGGAAGGGATATCTATCACTGGTTTACTTACAGGGGATAACAGGTTGTACAGCTTTTCATGCTGACTCTTGCTTAGACCTTGCCAGGCTCGTCATTTCATATATTTAAAATGTAGAGTATATTATTTTGAGTTGCTGCATCTCTTACTGCTGGATGTTTTTTCAGACATGACTCTATCTATTCATAACAGGGAGACCCATGGACATCTAACAAAAATGTGTGACCATGTAAACTTCCAGCCACCCAGTTTCCTCAAATCATGGTAATCCTTGCCTACAGAACAGGGCCTTCTCAGAAGCACAACATGTTTCTGTATTTTCTGTATGTCAGATTCTAGCTGCGAGTGTGATGGCCTTTATTTCCTTTGCCACTGGAAAGGAAGTTTTGTAAAAGAAGTATCTAACTTTCTCGCAGGATGTGAATTGTTGACCCTGAACAATGTACTGTTTGAAAAATTATGTCCCCGTCTCCCAGATTTCTATGCTAGTGTTTTGGGATCAATTTTCTCAGATTACACCACTCTAGCTACTTGCTGTTGATCTCTTTGTACCTAGACACTGTTGCGGAAACGGAAGGCATTTTTGACACTCTGAACTCTTTTATACTGCAGACTTTTTTTTCCTACAGTGTAATCAAGGCTATAAAACTTTTTATATAGAGAAGGACACCTTTGTTAAAAAAAAAAAACAAACAACAAGAAAACCAAATGAAAAGAAAAACACAGAAAAAATAAGAACGTAGCCTAGCTGATCATCTGAGCACTCAGAGGATGAAGGATGCAGTAGAGCTCCTTATTGGTACTCTTTTTGTCTGGAGTTCTTATTCTGGAGAATTATTGGTAGACATATTATCTGTGGCATTAGGATAGTGTAACCAGCTTAAATTTTCTTACATGATTTTTTAACAAATAGAAAGCTGTATGGTATGGACTGCCTGGCTTGTTTACAATCTGTACGAACAAAAAGTAGACCAGACCCCTAAAGACTTCATCTCTATGGCAAACAATTGTAATTTTGTCAATGTGGAAAGTTTTTCTGTCCTTTCTCCATTAATCTAATGTCTGAAAAAGCTTGGAATAAAATACCTCTGTTTAAGATGCTATCAAGTAAAGCTTTTGGAATTTGTTTCTTGCTAGAACTGAGCTAAAAGTTGAGGGAGTGTTGAATACTTGGAACTGATAGGCTTTGAAGCTGGCAAAACATCCATGCAAATGGCATGGTGGTGTTGTGGTTTAGCCCCAGCCGGCACCTAAACACCATGCAGCCACTTGCTAACCTCCTTGCTGCAGGTGGGATGGGAGGAGAGAATCGGGGGAAAAAAACTCATGGGTTGAGATAAAAATAATAGGACAGGAAAAGAAGAATAATTAATAATGATAATATTACTGATAAAGGAATATACAAAAACAAGTGATGCACAATGCACTAATTGCTCACCACCTGGTGATCAATAGCCTGTCCCTGGGCAGTGATTCCCACCCCCTGGACAGTTCCAGTTTTAATACACCAAGCATGATGTTATGTGGTAGGGAATATCCCGTTGGCTAGTCTGGGTCAGCTGTTCTGGCTGTGCCCCCTCCCAGCTTCTTGTGCAGCTCCCCACATGGGGAGCTGGAAAGTCCCTTGACGTAGTATAAGCACTACAACTACTTAGCAACAACCAAAAACATCAGTGTATTGTCAACATTATTCCCATACTAAATCCAAAACACAACACTATAGCAGCTATTAGGAAGAAAATGAACTCTTAACTCACCCAAAACGTGGACAGTATCCACCCCTTATTCCATACCATCTATGTTATGACCAGGTCCTACACTTCTCAATACATTACAATTAATCATCACCACTTCTCCTGTCTTTTAATATATACACACAGGTATCATTCCCTTACCCGATCGGCCATCTCTCTCAAATCTCCATTGAGTTCATTTGGTCTATGACTTTGCGCTCCATCTGTCTTAACAGTCTGCCAGGCTAGGGCAAATGGTGTGTGCTGTTGGATTATTGCATGTTACAGCTGGAGTTTGTAGCCGGGATATCTGGGGTGGCTCCTGCCTATGGTCTGCATGTTGAAGATGTCAGTCTTGAGGAAGTTACTGGGCGCAAGTTACTGAAGCCAGTTCTGGTTCCATCATTGCTGCACTTCGCCCAGTTTCATTAAAATTCAGTCCTCATTAATCTGGGTGATTACTTACTGTAATACCATTGATATGGTGTATAGCAACCATAGTAGCAGTGGCACACAGTACTGTGTAGCAATTAACATCATTCAATTCAAATCTGGCTGTTTTCACCCAAAATCAAATCTCCTTGAGGTACACATTCTTCTGCATTACCTGCCAAGCACTTGCAGGTCATTGAGCAAAAGCAGTCACACAGATGGGTTTGCCTTTGCCTGAAACAGGAATAACCCAGACTGTCTTCTCCAGCATAATTTTTACATGCACCACAGGGACTTCCTGACACAGCTGGTGAGTGAGCCC